TGCAAGAGCAACCAAATACCTCCTTGCTATTTTCATTCTTGTCAAACAGCATCATCCAGCCAATCATCTACTGTTTCTCATTTCTTAACTCTGTGGGAAGGAAAACAGTAGCAAATAGAACTGACCTGGATTAATTTAAATGCTCAAGTTAACAATGCTAACTAGGATGAAAGGAATTGTTGGAAATATTTTCTTTGAGGAAAATACTGATAACCAAAATTAGCTTCTGCAAAACTGAGGCATTTAAAATCTTTGTCTAAAAAGGCAAAGATGCTGTAGCTAAGCAACCTCACTCTTCCCTAAACTGAAAGTTGGTTTTCATAGCACCTTGTGTATCACTGAAAGCTCTGACAAACCACCACCCTGTTTTATGTAATTTTATGTAATGTCTGGGGGAGTGCCAGGTTAGATCTGGTATACTGTCAAAGGGACTTTTCCCATGAATGCAGATGATGGCAAGGTTATTTTTAAAATAGCATTCAAAATGTTCTTTTGTCTACTGCATGTTCTTCAAATACACTGAGTTGTGCAAGCAGCCATCAGAGAATAGATATGCCTTTCTGCTTTTGGAGTCAAGAATCACTGGCTACATTTTCTTTATCTGTGTACTGAAATAAGCTGCTCCCCTTTCTGGTTCAGATTGCTACTTCAGCACAGGATTTGATATAGCATATAGTATTTGTATTCTGCCACTAAAGATCTTGTTCTCTTCTAAGAGAAAATGTATTCTGATGTATGCTCTCTACCCTGGTTTGGGTACTTCTCTTGCCCTACCATGGATATAATCTGTAACTCTAAGGATGATGATTATTTCCAAGGTAGAAGTTAACTGTATTGTGTAGATCCTGTTCACTCAGTTTAAATCAAACAGCTTTCTTTTAACTTTTTTCTCATTCTGACTGCATTTTTCCTAATGGACAGGACAGAAAAATAAATGCAAGTAATAAGCAAAACTAATGACACTGGATATGACCCACTGGGTTATGACTTGGGATGCTTATCTCTCCTCATGCTTCCCCTCCCAGAGTATGAGTATTAACAGCCTTTCCACAGTTTGACAAGGGTATTGGAAAGCATCTGTCCAGCCTCTGCCTTCCCCTTTTTTGGTAGTCTGTCTGTAACACTACATACAGTACAATAAAATATGATGGTCCCAAATGTTTTGCTAAACAGAAAAAGAACAGATTTTGGCTGTACTGCTCATCTGTTTTCTTTTCTCAATTGATTTTGTGTTTGTGCAGAGTACACACACACGCAGTAGGCCTATGCATCTTCCTACACAGATATACACACACTATATACAGAGAGCAATGAAGCTTTTCTGTTTACTCTGCCTCTCTAATTCCCTCTAGATATTTTTGCATACTGTCATTTGTGGAATACTGTTGAAACGCAAAGGGATGTCAGCTAAACCTGCCTCGCATTGCAAGCTATTGGCAGCCTTACTAAGGATGGGGGAACAGTGTGGAGTCCGCTGCCATTTTTCACAGACTGATGCTGCCGGTTGGAAGCATTTGATTCAGCGGGCTTCAGACTCTCCTCAGCCTTGATTTTATTGTTGGTGTCTCAACAAGGACTCCAAAGTTGTTACTAAAAGTGCAAGCAGGTGCTGCCACCATGTATGAGGAAGGAATCTATTTAAAAAAAATGTATATTAAAAGGTTTTAAAGAGGGCAAAACCACACATTTTCTTACCCCATAACCAGCCTTGCCTGCACAATGAAATTAATTTGGATTTGTTATAGGGTAACTATATTTTTTTCAGTGTTTGTTAATTTCAAAGTTATCTGCATCATTTTGTTCTCTACCCAATTCATTTTGGTTATCTCTAACTCTGCAGATATTACCCACCTCATCTATTATAGTCCACGTCTTTTGCTCATGTATCTTTTCAGGGAAACTGTTGACTATTTGGGTGTCAAATTAGAGAGGGCAAGAAGGAGAATGCAATTCCGTGCTTCACAGGTCAAGAAAAGACAACCTGGCCTCTTTTTGGCTAATATAATTAAAGGGGGGGGGGGGGGGGGAAATCAGAACTGAAAGACTTCAGCCACTGCTACAGTATGGCTTTCCTGTGTAAAGTCTCACCTAACTTCCTGCCCAAACAGACTGGGCAGTTTCTATTCATCCTGAGTTTGAAGGAGGGCACTCTAGATCTCCCAGTTCATTTAGGCTGCTGTGAAATCAGGGATATATGGTCCTGTGCACAAAACAGAACAAATCTGGAAAAAAAAAATGACTGTATTAGGAATTTAGGTCATTAACTTAAAATGGGGAATCTAAAGTTCCCACTGCTTGCACCTAAATCTAAGGGCACACAAAATCTAAGGAAAGAAAGACTATGTCTAAGTATTCTGTGCCTGACCCTAATATTCTTTAATTCCCCAACCACACACTATTTTTCTTTTAAGCAAGGACTAGCACTACAACTATTCCATCTCACAATCAGGTTACTCTTGATGACGATCCAAAACCAAATCTCCATGTCACAGTTAGCATCATCTCCTAGTGATTCTGTGCCTCAGCACATGTACTTTCAACAACCACCTCTTTATTTCCTAACAGAAGTTGGGTCCCACCCATTCCTTCCTTTTTTCTGTCTAGCACACTTAGACCACTGGTTTATCACATGTTTACATCCACTGTGACATACGTCCATCTCCCTCTTTTCAACTGATTTTTATTTAGAAGATAAACACTTCAAGACAGCACAGAAAGTAGGAAAGTGTCTTGCCATGTGCCTAGTAGATTTTAGCCACTATAAAATTAACTGAAACGTAAGACAAAGCAAGGAAGTATTTTAGTAACCCATAAGTTGTTTTTCCTCCCTCTTGTCCATTCTCTAAGCCATTCCTTTCTCCTTCATCTGTCATTTGCTATATTTTCATAGTGTTAGGGAAGAAGGGAGTTGACTCTTTAAAATATGGAGCTTTATGCCTTAGATTTAATGACACTGGTTGCCCAGCCATGTAATATGGGCTATGCAGTAAACAGACTCAGCACCAAATCAGAAGTTACCTACAGCAAAGGCTTACAAGTCACTGGAAAGGCTATGCTGCACTAGTCATCTAAAAAACTAAAGAGAAAGGAGGATCTAACGTGAGCAGAGCTGGAAATCCAGAGATCTCCATTCTCTTCCTTAACCTGCTGGAAAGAGACTTTGCAATCTGGAACAGAGCATTCCAGCATCAGCAGGTATTTCTGTATCTGCCTCTAAGAAGATAAAAGAGAGAATGGGGAATATCATTTCATTAGCATTTATGAGGCAAACTATGTGGAAAGCATTGTCATACAACTACATAATTTACCCTTATTCTACAGGGTAAATTCCAACGAAACTACATGTGAAAAGCAGCATATGGGTCCTGCTTGTAAAGAAGTCCCTGTCAGTCTGAGCTCTCTTAAAGTGGTGACCATAAGGCAAAAAGAGAGAAAGCTTCTCTACAGATTGTTCCCAGCAAATCCCCATCCATACAGTCACTGTAATTAAGCAAGGAGTCTCATCCTCTTCAAGTGCAATAAAGAAAGACACTCCCTGGTTGCAACTTCCATTAGGAGGAGATTTGTATTACCTATATATCCTCTTAGCCATGAAAGCATTGGTGATTTAACACTCTAATAAAGTGCCATGGAGAAGGAAGAACAGCTGGTAGGTTTTTGCTCTACATACAAGTTGAAAAGCCATTCATGAAGTGACATTCATTTCCTTACCTATGTTAACACCTTAAGGTGTAAACATGAGGCAGTTGCGTACACAGTATCACTCATTAAAGAACTTCTGCCCTAGGACACGTTTAAATTCCTTTTTGCATGCCAAGAATCCTTAAGGACTACAGCATCACAGTAAGCTTATTTAAACAAATACAGGCAACTGGCCAGTATGAAAAATAAAACCTCCTCTGTAATATCAGCAAACATCATGCTTCCTATTGCTTCACGAAACAGCATTGCTTGGGCAGAGCCAGCTTTACAACACCACACCCCAGAATCCCAACATGAAAAATTGATCTGTAATTTGAATTCAGAAGTTAATAAAAACAACAAAACATGCCACCACATTTTCAGAAATATTTAAAATTAATCTTGGATAAAGACTACTCAATTCTTCATTTCAAGTTTATTGTAAGGAGAATTAAAAAAAAACACCAAAGAGGAGGTTTACAAAATTTTCAAGTTCTTCTTGCGCAAAAATACAAGTAGGTGAATGCATCAAAACCAACTCTTTTTCCTAAATTTAGATTTGTCTTTGATAAATTGGCACAGGAGTGCATGAGGTACCTTCTCTCACAGAAAATAAATGGGTGTCTTCGAAAAAAACATCATATGCCAGAATAAAAATAAAAACCATTGAATGCATTTTGGTTTAAAGTTACATTGAACAAATACAACTAGCCAGGCTGAATGATCTATGATATGCTGACAGAAGGAGCCAGACACAGACCTTCAAAAGAAAGGGGAAGCAGGAAGGAGCTGAACAGAAACATTTAGTCAGCTCAGTCAAAATGTCGGCATTCCTATTAAGAACTAAATACAGTATCCAAATCTGCCTGTTATTCTGTATCTTTCTACCAAAAGCCCATATATTTCTGAACAACTATTATTAGCATTTGAGATACTTTTACTGTATTTCACAAGGCAGTCCAGTCAAAAGTGACACTGACATTAAAAGCCTATTTTGATTTTGACTGCAAAATAACTGTTTGACTTGCAAGCAGAACTTCCATCAATCATTCCACCGGTAATATTCTTTTTCCTCATACCTGTGATTTCTGCACAATAACTTCGCTTCTGTTTTATCAGGAATATGAATGCCAATACTCCTGAAATGCAGGCACTCCTGAAACTCATGCATACCATAATGCATTGCACAGAAAGATCTTTTCAGTCTGCAAACCACAGTTAAAGTCCATAAAACAGATAGCATTTATACTACAGAAAATTATTCATACTGGAGAGACTTGTTCTTGAAGTGTAGCTCAGCCCCTTAGGGACAGACATACCTCAGAATTGTTGAGATGACACCTGTGCGTCCCCGAGAACCACCCCTCACTCGAACACTGGTCAATGTCCACCTTCTGCAGATTGATGTCCACTTTGACAACACCTCTGAAAACACAGAAAAACAGCCTTGAACACAGCAGCTACAGAAACAGGTTTAAATTTTATGATGCTGTAACCTGAAAAGTGGAACTACCCTTTTCTTCAAAATACAGAATTTCATATAATGGTTTGGGTTGGAAGGGACATTAAAGATCATATAGTTCCAACCCCCCTGACATTGGTAGGGAAACCTTCCACTAGACCAGGTTGCTCAAAGCCCCATCCAACCTGGCCTTGAACACTGCCAGGGATGGGCAGCCACAACTTCTCTGGGCAACCTGTGCCAGCATCTCACCACCCTCACAGTAAAGAGCTTCTTCATAATATCTTAACCTAAATCTCCCCTCTTTCAGTTTAAAGCCATTCCCACTTGTTCGATCCCTACATGCCCTTGTAAAAAAAGACCCTCTCCAGCTTTCTTGCAGGGCCCCTTTAGGTCCTGGAAGGCTGCTCTAGGGTCTCCCCTGAGAACTGGTATAACTCCCATCAGAAGGTCAGCACAAGCCAAGAGTAGGCCATTGATGTCTGTGAAATTCCCCAAAGAAAAAATAATGTTTCCTAACACACAAGCCCTAAAGGACTGTCTGAACTGTGTTAGCTCTATGCCAAGAACATTCAAGTCTTCATCGTTTCCCTCAAATCTGTTTGAATGAAAAGCTAACAATCTGATTTCAAAGCCAACACTATTTTATAAACATCTCAGAAATCACAAGGAAAAAAAGCTGTAAGACTGCAGCTGTATATTTTTAAAAAGCCTTCAAAATTTTCATTATTCTAAAATAACCTCCACAATTACTTTGTATGTAGAATATTTATAGCATCATCTTGTGAGAACACATATTTTGACTGCTTCACTGCTGTCTAGCTTAGCAGAAACATCACTATGCAGCTTCTGGTAGTTAGATCAACACATGGAGTCACTCATAATGAATGTTCTTTACCAATTTCTTAAGTCTAGGTTACCATTCCTTTTAAGCCAACCATTTCAGCCACTCCAGACAAAAGTTTCTATTCCCAGTCTAAACTTCCACAACTACAAACACCCTTTCACACTGTGGACTACCAAAGGCATGACCCAACCTCTATCTCAAGAATACATCATTCGCCTCAAACCATATTGTGTCTTTTAATTAAAGCTCAGTGTATACAGAACAATAATAGTAATGGAACTACAGAGCCATATATCTGAGAGAGACCACTTGTGAACAAAACCAGAACAGGAATAGGAGTGAGCTTGATCAAAACCGAGGACATTATTGCTCCCTCATGCCTGGCCCCAGTACAACCACGCGCAAAGTGTCCGTAACAACTATATTTAGGCATTCAGTTTCAGACATGCTGTACAGTCATTGGAAAAAAAAAACAAACACACAAGCACATCATTTAAGTGATCTGAAGAAGAATGCATTAGGAAGTTATGTAGGATTACCAGTAGGAAGTTACACAGTATAGGTGCACTTCATGCCAGTCCATCTCCTGCCTAGAATCTAAGTAATCTTATGCTGGGCATACTTAGAAACTATGTGAAATATTGAAGTGCTGGCTCTAGCAAGTTCAGTTTGAAATAGCACACATCATGCTTCTTAGAATATTCAGAAATATTTTTAGTTTATAGCTCTGTGCCTTTCTACTCTTGTTTTGAACAAGAGCTTCTCCAGGGAGCACCAAAAATCACACTCCCCCCCCCAATGAAATGTTTTTTGGTTTTTGGCTGTTTTGGTTTTGTTTGGGGTTTTTTTTTTATGTTTTCTGGGTTTGGTGGGTTTTTGGTTTTGTTTTTTTTTTTTTTGGAGGGGGGAGGCTGTTGTTTTGGGGGGGGCTTTTTGGGGGGAGGGAGTGTTTGTTTTTTTCCCCCCTTGATGGTTCCAGGTGACCAATGACTTCAGGAGAAAAATCTGCCATAATATACAAGCTTATCTTAATCTGATAACTGGCTATCTGTCTCAGATGCGCTTAGAAACAGAAGCGACTAATTCCTCATCTGGTCACATGCATACCCCACCAGATAGGGTTTCTAATTTTCTGGACCTTTCTGAGCATAAATATTATTGTGGGGGCTGAGACAAGACCTGTGCTGCAAGTGAATCATAGAATGCTTAGGGTCAGAAGAGAATAATCTCACTGTGGCTGCTTAAAAGCACAAAGCAGGTAGTGGGACCAGGACCAACAGTACTCCTTGCTCTCCTAGTTCATGTTATACACAAAGCAACTTGCCAAGGCGGTCCAAAGCATTAGCACCATTCTGACTGCACTAAAGAAATCAGTTTATACAGGAGGAAAAAGTGATGATTCATCCTGATTAGGACTGCAACAGACTTTCAAGCACCTTAAGGAAATGGGTCTTTATTTTCTTTACAAAGAAAGCTTTTCCCTTGTGTACATTTTAACTGGTAGGACAAGAAACTCCATTTTCGCTCTACAAATATTTCTGCCAAGAGAGGTACACACTGCAAATCAAGGGTAAACTAATCACTGCTAGCAGAGGAAAAACACCTTAAGACTTTGGTGTGTGGTATCAACAGCAGGCCCCGCAGAAGCACAGTGTTAGTACAAAGGGATATAAAAATTTCCAAAAGAAAACTTACCTAGAGGTCACTTGTAAGAGAGACAACAGATACAAGCCAGAGGAATTACGGACGGTACACACACTGAGCAAGCATTAAAGTATGGCCTTGCACCAGACATGCTGCGGTCTGAGGAATTAGTGGCACATTCTAGCGGGCAAAAGGCAGAAAGCAGAATAGCATCCTAATGCCCAGAGCCACATACTGGAAAGAAAGGAAAGGTACTTCTAGATTTTTCACATTAGAACTGATTAAATAGCTTGCATCCTTTGAAAACTCTTTGATATGATTATTTTGTTCAAAACATATGTGGAAATCAGATTTATATAGCAGCTGTCACCTCTTGTGATCATCTTGTCCACCCAACCACCTGCCCAAAGCAGGCTCAGTTCAGTTGGGTTTTTTAGTACCTCCAACAATGGAGGCTTCACCACCTCTGGGAAACTTGATCTAGTGTCTGACCACCCTCAGAGCACCAAAATAAGTTTTCTGATGTCTAAATGCAATTTCTTGTATTTCTTTCTGTACTTTCACCAACTGCCCCTGAAAAGAGACTGGCTCTGTCTCCTTTACACTTTCTCCTCAGGTATTTACACGTGTAAGAACTCCCTGGAGCCTTATCTTCTCCAGGCTGAACAGTCCCAGCTCACTCGGCCTTCTTGCCTGTCAGCTGCTCCAGTCTTTAACCATCTTTGTCAACTTGCAGTAGGCTAGCTCCAGTACATCCATGTCTCTGGGACTGAGGGGCCCAGAAGTGGACAAGCACCCACCACACCCCCCCACCCCCCTATCAGGCTGGACAAAGAGGAAGGATCACTTCCCTCAACCCATCAGCAATGCTCTTCCTCTCACAGCCCAAGAGACCATCAGTCTTCTTTGATGCAAACACACACTGGTGATTCATGCTAAACTGGTGCCCACCAGGACCACAAAACAAAAATGTTAAACATAACCAGCTCCAGTATCAACCCCTGGGTTGTATCAATAGTAACTGGCCGCCAGCTGGACTCTAGTGATCTATACACAAAAGGCTGCTCCGTTAGTTAAACACTATTTCCCCTTCAGAAACCACTGATAAACTCCCAATCATATCCTTCATGTGTTTCAAAGTGGTTTTCAGGAAGGTTTGTTCCATTGCCTTCCTAGGGACTGAAGTGAAGCTGATCAGCCTTGAAGTTCTTGGAAGACATGAAGTACCTTGGCCTTTTCTACATCCTCTGTCAAAGTCCACTGCACCACTCAGCAGCAGACCCACATTCTCCCTAGTTCCCTTGCTGCCCTTCATATCCCTCACCAGATTCAGCCCCATATGGGCTTTGGTTTCCCTAACCACACCCTGACATAGAATCACAGAAACAGAATCATTTAGGTTGGAAAACACCCTTAAGATCATAGAATCCAAGCATTAACCCAGCACTGCCAAGTTCATCATTAAACCATGTCCCTAAACACCACATCTATACCCCTTCTAAATACCTCCAGTGATGGTGACACCACCACTTCCCTCAGCACCCTGTTGCCATATTCAACAACCCTTTTGGTGAAGAAATTTCTCTTAGTATCTGACCTAAACCTCCACTGGTGAAACTTGATGCCATTTCCTATCATCCTATTGCTTATAACTCAGGTGAAGAGACCAACACCCACCTCACTACAACCTCATTTCAGATAGTTGTAGATAGTAATAAGGTCTCCCGCCAGCCTCATCTTCCCCAGGCTGAGTTCCCTCAGCCATTCCTCATCAGACTTGTGCTCTAGACACTTCAACAGCTTCATTGCCCTTCTCTGGACCCGCTCCAGTACCTCAACACCTTCCTTGTAGGGAGGAGCCAAAAACTGAACACAGTATTCAAGGTGCTGCCTCGCCAATGCTAAGTTCAATTCCCTAGTTCTGCTGGCCACACTACTTCCAATATAAGATGCTCGTGTTCACAGTCATAGTCATGCTCAGACCATGTCTCCTTATTCTTCCTGGATTACCTGACCCCGCTTCCATATCTTATGCACTTTCATTTTATGCTTGAGTTTTGTCAGGAGTTCCCTGTTAAGCCATGCAGGAGGCCTGAAAAGCATCTAATTTAAAAACACTTTTACACTACTTCCTCCAGAAACAGTACAAAATTCTTCCATTTACAACTAAGTGCATTCTACTTTTGCTTCTCTTGTGTTAAGATCTTTCTTACATGAATGTTTGCCTTCCACAAAACCCAGTCTTTATGAACTCAAGACAAAGATTTCTACTTACACTCTTGTGTCTGCACCTCTTCTGTAGCACACCCTCAACTTCTGATATGATTAAAGTTACCCTGTTTTTAACTTTCCTCAGAGCTTTATGAATTTATGGGGTGAAAAACCTACAGGAAAGAAATGCCATATAATCCTGCAGAAGGCATATGAAAACAATCTCTCCTGGCAGTTACAATCTACCATAGGCTTTCCATT